ACAGATTATAATATATCCTTTGTTTGGAATGTAACCTTTATTTTGCTATCGATGAATATTATGAACTAATATTCTTTATTCATTTTATTTTGAACAATAATATAAATTATTGTGATAAATATATAAACCAGTAGTAATACATTTACGATGTGCTAATATTTTTAATTAAATTAAAAAATAAAAAATTAAAAATTTATAAAATATTAAAATTAAAAGTTACAATTTAAATATTTATCATAAATTGCTTTATTATAACTAAATAAACTTATTATAGCATGAATAAACGTATTTTAGTAATATTATTACGTAAATATGCTATAAAATAAATTTTAAAATATTTAAATTAAAAAAAAATCGCTAAATGAAAATTTTTGAGTCGACAAAACACCACCTGGACACAAATATGTGAAACAGATGGTAAGCAACACACTACCGTCAAGTGGTGGCATCTGTTGCCAAAAATTTTCATTAAAATCGATTTTTCGAAGGGTAATGACGAATCGGTACTCTAGTACATTGTTATAACAAAGAGGGGTGCGGCAGATCGTTACCCTGGTCTTAAGAAAGTTAAATACAGAAAAAATGGTGCAAAATACTGCCACATTTTTACAGGGAAACTCTTTAAAACAAGATATGCAGAGGTTTTATACATCTATAAAACATTACTATTACATATTACAGTATTTTCTGTTCTTTATAAATTTTTAGTAGTAATTAGTGATGGGACAATTAATCAGAATTGAAAAAATCGGACGTTTTCCAGGTATCAAAGTCTGAATCGAGAAAATTTCATCACAATTTCCAATTTTTAAAAATGATGCTTCCACATTTTATAAGAAAATTATGTCTTTCAGTGGAAGATTAAAAATGTTTGAAATTACAATATTAATTAATAGTTAAATATTAAAATAAATAAAAATAACTGTATTTCTAAAAATATTAAAAGATAAAATATAGAACCAGTCTCCAAGATAAAACATAATATATTTATTTTGTTGTATTTTCCTTAACAAAAATGAAATATTTTGCAATATAATAATATTTATGAGACTATATATTTACCATTATTTTCAACATATCTCTGTCTATTCAGAAGAATCAACGTTCTTCTGAATAGACAGAGAAATTTGCCTCACTTATACGATCATGCTTTTATTTATGCCAGTTTGTTCTGGCTTATAAGAGCACTGTCAATGTAAATTAAATGTATAAGTACTGTTACAATAACTATTTAGTGACATCTTTGTGGTAACTGTTATTAAAGATAGAAAGCCAATATTAAAAAAAAATACTTTCAATCTACAAAATTTTTTTTTAAATTAGTATTTTTTAGATACTTTGCAAAATATAATGCCAGTTTTGACCTATCTGTAAGAGCATGCTTTTATATGTGCAGAAATGTGCTATATTTATTATATTTAGTACACTACTTAAAAAGATAGTCATTAATTTGTTAACTCTGTTTATTAGGTTTAGGTAATGACTTCAACATCTTAGAATATGCTGATCCTGAACTTGATAAAGGACTTGTTGGTGAAGGTGAAAAAAGCAATATTTTGGATGAGCATTTAGATTTAGATGACAAAGATGATGAACTTGATGAGGAAGTTGAAGAAATGAAAGCTAGATCTGGAGAAGGTAAAAAAGTTAATGTTGAAATTAAACAAGAAATTAATGCAGAAGAAGAAAAAAAGAAACAAAGTGAAAATGAAGAAGGAAAACTTGGTCTTCAAAATGAATTAAATAACGCTGATTTTCAAACAAAATTTTTAGAATTTAGTCAACAAAGAGAATTGGAAAAGAATGAAGAAACTTTTGAAGAAGAAAGTATTGATTCTAATATAAGTAGCAAAATAGAGGAAGGTGAAAATAAAAATGTATGTAAATTAATTTCTACTTCATCATCATCATCATCTGTCATTGCTTCTGATGATTTAACAACTTGTCAGTCTGTTGTATCATTTACTAACGTCACTACTACTGTTGCTTCAAATGTTCTTACATTTTCTTCATCAGATCAGTTGCAGATTTCACAACATGGAAATGGAAATATTAAGTCAACAATAATAGCACCATCTCCTCCAGGAACATTTGGTCAACCTCAAGTATCTCTCCATAGGGAACAAGAAAATAACTCCCCAAATCAAACACATTTTGTTGATCATTTAAGAATTTCTCAACCACCACCATATCCAGCTAATGTTCCTCCTCCACCTCCCTATCAAGCACATAATTTAAGACCCCAAAGTATGTCAGTTCAGCAGCAAGTAATAACTAGTCCAAGAGGTATATTTCCAAATCAGTCTCTTACTAGAGCTAATCTCTCATCTAGTCAAGTTCTGTCTTCTAATGGACAAGAAAAATCTTTACTCCAAGAACAGCCACTGCTCTTAGAGGATCTAGTTGAACAAGAAAAAAGGGAACAAAGACGACAGAATCAAGAAGGAATAATATCTCCACATGCAGATGCTCTGCTTAGTGATATTGATTTTGAACGATTGAAAGCTGATGTGTTATCAGGCCCACCAGATGATTCACTTGGTGGACCAGGGTCTTTAATCTCTTCACAAGGTTCTCAAACAGTAACCACAAATCAAATATCATCTACTCCTCAATGTTTTCCTCGTCCTCATCTAACATTAACCTCTAATCAGCAGCATTCACCTTCTGCTTGGCAAACACAAGATCAGACTTTAATTAATCCTTGTTCTCCACGTACTCCTGGTTCATTACATCCTTCACCCATACGACCTTCAATAATGTCACCTTCCATTGGAACAATAGGTATACATCCAGCAAGTATGCTTCATGGTGAACCTCCTGTAAGAGCAAATCTTTCAAGATCAAATACGTCACCTGGTAAGATTAATATTAAATTTTTTATAATATAGTATTTCAATAATATAATATAATATAGTATTATAATATTGATTTCAATAATATTTTAATTAACTATTGTGAGAGTGCATATTAGTCTAAATGTCCATACAATCTTTACTTTAGTTGGGCTACAATTTGAAGAAATTGTAGATCTATAAATTTCCACTGTCATAGACTGTCTATCCATCTGTCTTTCTTTAATCTCAAAAATAGTGTTAGATAAATGGAATTCAGGATCAGATATAGAATGCTTAACTATATATGAACTTCCAGTCTAGACTGGAAGTTATGTGAATTCAATTAAAAAATTTTTCCCTGTATGGAGTTACATAGATGACTGGCATAACTCTGCTATCAGGAAAAGTATGATGTACAGTACAAGGACAAGACACTACAAATTTACAATGGAAAACATGCATTTTAAATTGAATAAATTAAGAATATGATTAAAAATTGCAGCCCAGCATTGTGACAATGTCACAATAAATAATTGCTTGTTAACATTGTTTTGTAACAAAATTTTCTTCACTAGCACTGGAAACACATAATATCTTGAGACCACTAAAGCTCTTCAGCTTCCAGATTCTTGCTACATTTTACATGCTTTGAAGGAAGCTGAAGAGGTTTTTAGTGGTCTAAAGATTGTTTTTTAATGAACTTAATTGTGTACATAATGATAATTATAATTGAAACTGACTATATAACCAAACTATGCTAACTATAAATCTAATAAAATCCAAATTAAAAGATTGTGTTAGATTTATTAAAGGAAAGATGTATTGGGCAAACTAATAGTTTCAGCTACTTTCCATAGACATCAACAGATTACAATAGGCTAAAAACGAAAATACATTAATTTAATGTAGAAAATGTTACAAAAAAATCATGAGCCATGAACATCACTTTGTATTTATAAGATCTGTATTTTTCATGAATAATCAAAATATAATTTTGAAATTAATGAAAATTTTGTATTGAATAATAAAATTGTTAGTCATATAAAAAACCAAGTTTGAATTATATTGATATATTAATAATCAAATGATAAAGGTGGATTAATTAACAAAGTTAAATCCTGATCATTTGATTAATAAAAATTAAAAGTTACTGTGTGTTCTCCTGATAGACCCTTTAGTGATAAGCAAAAATTTTGCTGAAGAGAACAAATCATATAAAGAACACACCAGTAATTAACTATTTCAACTTTATTATATAAAGAAATGCATTTCCTTGTATAATAAACTTGGAATAGTCTGGTGTGTTCTTTGCAGGGCTATGGAGTCTAAGTTGGGAAAAATGTGTCGAATCAGACTCTGGCATTTTAAATTTAATTTAGTTTTTTTATTTAAATGAAAGAAAATTTATTTTATATTTATTAATTTTTTAAAATGTATTTGTATTTTGTTATAATTCATTTATTTTAAATACAAAATTGTGAGAATCGGGGTTTAAGCTTCTGTCAAAGCTTAAACTGTTTTCCGACAATGGGAAGGTGAGTCCTGTTCACAGGGTCAGTGGATGGCAATTTAGGAGAGCGAAAATCGAGTGGGAGGTCGCGGATAAGTCTATAAGGTGTTGGCCGTGTACGAGTAATCACACATGTTTAAGATATTATATAAATTTAATTAGTAAATGCTATACAAAAAGGATACAAATAATAAGATTAATAATAACAATTTCAAACTGAAGCTCCAATAGGTGGTTAGCTGGATTATGTCTCACGTATTTCCATATTTCCAACAGAGGAGAGTCTCTGATCCTCATTAATATTTATTTCTTAATTGGCCCTAGTCCATCTGAGAAAAAAGAGAGAGTTCTACTTACTAAGTTGTAGATAGTAGAATCTTGCTTAGTCGTCTGTCGTCAGCGGTCAGTGTTTAAAGGCAGTTGGTCCGTCATTTTCTGATGTCTTGAAGGCCACACCGATAACTGGCCATGAGCCCTCTTTATACCAAATTTGAAGGGGTGAGAACTATGACATTATTAATGATTTATATGCACACCAGTTAGTCCAGACAACTGACACAGAGAAGTTTGTTTAATTTATTGATATTGTTGTCTAGAAGATATGATTTTATAATATAAATTTCTATAGGTTTGACGGCTCTCATCCATAAATTAACATTCAGCTGACAATAATTTCTGTAAACTGGTCAACAATTTAGATATTGTTTATATCAAACGTTGCGTTTGACTACAAATGAGGCGATTGATTTATTGCTGTAACCACGTGTCACATGCAACCATAGAGGGGGTAAGAAACATCTCTTATTCCTGTCGTGTTGATATTAACGTCTATAGAATTACCTTTAAACAAATGGAGGAGATTTCCTTCATTGATATTTTAACATTTCCTTTTTTTTTTTTTTTTTTATTCGAGGAGAGCGTCTTGGTCATTGACCGCAAAGTCCCCCTTTTTTCCTTTACCAGTGAAATCATGAGGTTTATACTGTTCTAAAACAGAAAAAGGGTTTCAGACCTTCACAAAATGCAACAATTTAATTTATTAAATATGTATGAATCGTTTTCTTTGTAGTATTTGTGTTTATTAGTTAAATTATTTTGACCCAATTGAATTTGAATATTATTGATTCATTCCTTTTTTATCCCCACTCTAAATAAGTATTCTATTTTTCTGAATGAGCCACACTAATTGATCAGAGTATATATTTTTCTTTTCTGAACAAGGGGCTGAAGTAGCTAGATCGCACACTTTTTAATTGAACTAACTTTTCTGGAAAGGTGAAATTGAAGTGCAAAAGCTGTAGAATAAAGATATGTAGATGTAGAATTTTAT